TTTGTCTTTGGTCCTTTGCAGGGCCCACTCCATTCTACCTTCCTTTCTGCTGCCTTGATGTCTCACTGGCTCCTGAATGAGTGACTGTGTAATAATAAGTTTGTCTTAAAACAGTAAAAAAGAAAAAAGAAAGAACATCAATGTAAAAGAATTTACAGACTTTCAAAGAGAAGCAGTATAGTATATTACAAAAAATAACCATAAATTATTTCTATTCATAAATGTACACCCTTTTGCAGTGTGACTTGGTAGCTCCTCCCATCAAGAGGTAGAGTCTGTTTTCCTTCCTTGTAATCTGTATGTGGCCATATGACTTGCTATAGCCTGTGGGACATTAGCAAATGTGATGTTAGCAGAGGATAGAAAAATGTTTGTGCTTTGGAACTTGCTCTCTATTATTGTGGCTGGGAACTCTTCTGCTGCCATGAAAAGAGAGCTAGAGACCATATGGCAGAGATAACTATCCCAGCTGGTGTCTATAACAAGTTACTTAGAAAAGGAGAATCAGAATGCCATTAATTTTTTTCGGCAACACAAAATTAGAAGATAATATCATGAGGTTTGCAAATGAGAGGGAGAGAAAATTGCATTTCAAGGCATCATTCATTTGGGTATTGCAAGGAAACAATCACATGTAGCCCTTCTGAGAAAAGTATTGGAAGAAGTATTGAAGCTAACTAGCTAAGTGAGAGGTAAAGAGCTCAAGATAAGGATGTACTGGTTAGGTTTTATATTTGCAAGCAAAATAAACCACATTTTGCAGGTTCACACAGAAAGGGAATTTATGGAATGGCTAGTGAATAACTCATAGCATTGCCCAAAATCTCAAATCAGATTTTAAAAAGAATAAGGATTTGAACAACACAAACTTATTTAGCTAGATATCACAGAATGTTTTACCTAGTGATCAGAGAACACAGATTGTTTTCAGATACCCTTGGAGTATTTGCAATACTGATCAGCCACAAAATAGCTGGAGCATCTAAAAAAGAGGAGACGCAGGCCACATCCCCTGATTACCGTTCAGTAAAACTAGAAAATAACTATGGAAGGATAGCTGTTCTCTCTCATCCCATTCTGAACACTTGGAAATTTAACCAAAGAATTATTTAGAAAATTATTTTTTAAAGGTATTAAAAATAAACTTATAAGCTACATAGAAACATGGCAGTAAGCACACAATAAACTGAAATCTTTAGAATATAACCAAAGCATTTCTTAGAAGAAAATTTGTAGTCTTAAATTTTTTTCCAAATAAATGTATTTATTTTTATTCTTTATTGACTTATGTATTCTGCTCAGAGAGGTAGAGAAAAATAATTTATAAACACCTAATAAAAGTAGAAGAAAATATTATTTAAAATATAAATTAGGCCAGGTGTAGTGGCTCACGCCTGTAATCCCAGCACTTTGGTAGGCCATGGTGGGCAGATCACCTGAGGTCAGGTGTTGGAAACAGCCTCTCCAACATGGTAAAACCCCATTTCTACTAAAAATAAAAAAATTAACTGGGAATGCCGGCATGTGCCTGTAATCCCAGCTACACTGGAGGCTGAGGCAGGAAAATCACTTAACTCCAGAGGTGGAGGTTGCAGAGAGTCGAGTTCACACCACTGCACTCCAGCCTAAGTGACAGTGAGACTTCATCTCAAAAAGAAGAAAAGAAAAATAAATTAAAATATAAGTCAATAAAGTAGATAAATAAAACTAATAGACTGTAGATTTAGAAAAACCAAAGCTATATATTTCGAAGAATGGTATAAAATAGCCTCAGACTTAACACGTCTTATCAAGAAGACAAGATCAAAGAACAGCATCAAGAATTAGAACTATAGATAAGAAGGCAAAAGACAGTGACCAAAATTGTCTTTTTTTTTTTTTTTTTTTGACAGTCTCACTGTCACCCAGGCTGGAGTGCAGTGGTACGATCTCGTCTCACTACAGTCTCCACCTCCCAGGTTCAAGCGATCCTCCTGCCTCAGCCTCTGGAGTAGCTGGGATTACAGGCATCTACCAGGACACCCAGCTAATTTTTGTATTTTTGGTAGAGACAGGGTTTCACCATGATGGCCAGGCTGGTCTTGAACTCCCAACCTCAAGTGAGCCGGCTGCCTCGGCCTCCTAACATGCTGGGATTATAGCCATGAGCCATCGTGCTTGGCCCAAAATTGTCTTAAGAAGCATAAAACCTAGCCAGGTGCAGTGGCTCATGCCTATAATCTCAGCAGTTTAGGAGACCAAGGCGGGTGGATCACTTGAGGTCAGGAGTTCAACACCAGCCTGGCCAACATGGTGAAACCCCTTCTCTACCAAAAATACAAAAATTAGCCAGGCGCGCTGGTGGATGCCTGTAATCCCAGCTACTCAGGACGCTGAGGCAGGAGGACCACTTGAACCTGGGAGGCAGAAGTTGGAGTGAGCTGAGTTTGTACCACTGCCCTTAATCCTGGGTGACAGAGTGAGACTCCATCTCAAAAAAAAAAAAAAAAAAAAAAAAAAAAAAAAAATGTGTAAAACCTGAAGCTAGTAACCTCAGAAAAAATCAAAAAAGTAAAGATGTATTTATTTCTTATGGAGGCTTCTCCTGGAGAGTCCACAAAAAGATCTGGCAGTTCAGCAGCCTTTTCTCCAAAATCAAGAGCTGGGAGTTTAATGAAGTCATCTCCATGTCTGAGCACCTGAAGTCTTGTCCTTTCAACATTTAGAGCACAAAACTGACCCGATTCTTTTGACCAGCATGTGTGAGCCACGTGAGCAGGCCCTGGAGATCTTAGTCTCCACCTTCAGAGTCAGACCATTAGGAAGATACGTCCCCTAAAAATTCAGATGTCACCCAATGCACCATTCTTGGATTTCCTCTCAGAGTTCCTGAAGTAGGACAGAGTGTGGTTTTGAGGACTCCCTTCTGTAAACTGCCTATTTGCTTATCAGGGTGTATTGGAACATGCAATGTTCTTCAAAACCTCAACACAAGGCCTAAGAATTCCCTAAGCCATGGCCTGTACCATAGTACCATATTGATGACTCGTTTCCTTTTCTTTTCTTTTTTCTTTCTTTCAAAAATAGATTGGTCTGAGAAGAAAGTAACAAAAAAAAAAAATGTATTTCTTTTTTCTTTTTGAGAGAGTCTCACTTTGTCACCCAGGCTGGAGTGCAGTGGCTCCATCTCAGCTCACCTCTGCCTCCCGCGTTCAAGCAATCCTCCTGCCTCAGCCTCCTGAGTAGCTGGGATTACAGGTGCATGACACCACACTCAGCTGATTTTTATATTTTTAGTAGAGACGGGGTTTCACCATGTTGGCCAAGCTGGTCTTGAACTCCTGACCTCAAGTGATCCACCTGCCTTGGCCTCCCAAAGTGCTGGGATTACAGGCATGAGCCACCATAAAGATGTATTTTTAATTAGTGCTCCAGGCCTTTGAAGGCTTTATGGGTTAATTCTACCAAGCTTTCAAAGAATAGATTAATGCTTATTGTTATGTAAATTGTTCTAAATCTCTAGAAAGGGTAGAAAACTTGCCAGCTCATTCTACTGGGGTAGGGTTACCGTAATGCCAACAATGGATGAAGAAGGTGTGTCCATGTGTACAAACACTATGAAACTTTAGTTTTATTTAAAAACATTGATTTATTAATCCAAAAAAAAAGTCAAGAATACGCCTCTTTTGTAGAATGGTGATATTGGGAAAGGTTATGCATGTGTGGCAACAACAGGGACATAGGAACTGTGTAATGTTTCTTCAGTTTTGCTATAAATCTAAAACTGCTCTGAAAAAATGAAGTTTATTAATTTAAAAAATACTAATACTTTGTGACCAGCTAGGATTTACTTTTAGTATGACACAATGGTTCAATTATTTCAATGTTAAGGAATCTAGTAACATAATTTACTATGCTAACAAGCTGTAGGAGAAAAATGAGTACATAAAATTATAGCAACAGATGCTGAAGGTACCTTTGTGATTTCAATACCCATTTCTGATGTTTAAATAAACAAAAATAGTAATCCTTAAAATAGGAATACTAGTGGGTGAAAATATTAGAAGTATACAGATAGAACCAACTTTTCACCATGATCATCAAGTTTGTCATGGCGTTCATTAGTACATTTTACAAAGGAGGTGGAAAATGCCAGCTAATCTAAGTTGATAGCAAGCATCAGCTTTGAGAACCTTTATGGTACAAAGATGAAAACATCAAAATTCGTTAAATGAAGACAATGTGAAATTGAAACATGGAAAAACAGATAATGAATTGAAAAAAGTCAACATGATTAAGGATGCCTGCTGCAAGATCCCATACAAAAATAATTCATAGTTTTGTATAGAAGAGGGAGCAGACTTTTTCTGTAAATGAGCAGAAAAGTAAATATTGTTAGGCTTTATGGGCCACATGTCCTTATCTCTCCTCCTTTCCTTTCCGTCTTCACTTTCCCCTTCCCTCTTCCTCTTTTTTTTTTTTTTTTTTAACAACCTTTCAAAAACATGTAAAAACTATTCTTAGCTGTTGACCCTACGAAACAGGCTATGGGCTAGATTTTCCCCATGAACAGTACTTTGCAGACTTCTGATACAAAAGTGTATATCTGAATAAATTTGATGTATGTCATGTTTTTATGTAGAGCTCCTCCATGCTGTAGAAGTTGTCCCAGAGTAATGCAAAAATTCAGTGCAATTCTGATTAATATCACATTGAGATTTTGTAAAGTAGACTGTGATAAGCTTATTTTAAAATTTGTCTGCAAGAGGAGATGTTTTAACAGTAGCCAAGAAAAGTTTGAAAAAACATTGAGGGGGTCTTTTCCTACAGAATATAAAAACTAGTTCTTTTATAAAACAGTATAGTATTGGCACAAGAATAGACAAATCAGTGAAACAGAAAAGGATCCACATTTATAAAATTCATTCAACTAATTCTTCTGAAGTCATGCTTCATCTTGAATGTATACTTGGTTTTTCTAAAAATGATTTTGTATTCTTTTATTTTCTTTTTTTGTTTAGGTATAAGTGTGCTAGCGGAGTGTCTAGATTGTCCTGAATTGAAAGCAACTGCCGATGACTTTATTCATCAGCATTTTACTGAAGTTTACAAAACTGATGAATTTCTTCAACTTGATGTCAAGCGAGTAACACATCTTCTCAACCAGGACACTCTGACTGTGAGAGCAGAGGATCAGGTGATTAAAGTGCCTTCTTAACGTTTTTCTTAATAAAAATGACTTTATTGATTTCTTATAACTCATGTTTGGACACATGACAAGAGAAAGAGTCTATTAGAAAAGAATGTTTTTTACACTAAACAGTGAGTATTGCAATCTTAGATGCTTGCCAGGCTGGCTCTTTGAGAAAGAGGCCACTTCATAGAAATGAAACCATTGGGTACCATGGTAGGCAGAACAATACCATCCCCAAAGATGTCCACTTCCCAATCCCCAGTATCTAGAATATATTACCTATGTGGCAGATAGGACTTTGCATATGTGACTGAGTTAAGGATTTTGAAATGAGATTATTCAAGTGGGTCCAGTGTAATCGTAAAAAGCCTTACATTTGGAAGAGGGAAGCAAAAAAGGGCAGCATTAAGTGGTGCAATGTGAGAAAGACTTGACTAGCCATTGCTGTCTTTGAAGGTGGAAGGAGACCATAAGCCAAGGAATGCAGGCAGCTGCTAGATGCTGGAAAAGGCAAGGAAGTCGTCTCTCCTATAGAGTCTCCAGGCAGACATGTTGGTTTTATTCTACCGAGACCCATTTTGGACTCTGACCTATAGAATTGTCAGATAAACTGTCAGAAGTATAAGCTGGGTGCAGTCGTGTGGGAGCTGGGTCAGGGAACACTTTGTTTGTTTATTTAGAGACAGAGTCTTGCTTTGCTGCTCAGGCTAGAGTGCAGTGGTGTGATCTTGGCTCACTGCAACTTCCATCTCCTGGGTTCAAGCGATTCTCATGCCTCAGCGTCCCAAGTAGCTGGGATTGCATATATGTGCCACTGTGCCGGGCTAATTGAGATGAGGTTTCACCATGTTGGCCAGACTCGCCTTGAACTTCTGACCTCAGGTAACCTGCCCACCTTGGCCTCCCAAAGTGTTGGGATTACAGGCGTGAGCCACCACACCTGGCTGTGGGAATACTTTACTATGTAGACTCACTTAATCTCTATTTTCAGCCCCACATCCTTCTCTGTATTTTAAGCCACTAAATTGGTGGCAATTTGTTAATAGCAGCAACAGAAAACTAATATAGGTACTATAAGATCATATGTTTTAGGTTACTTTTGTACTAAAAACAAAATTTTGCACTTAGCAATATTCTTTTGCCCATTTGCAAGTTGACAGGTTGGACCTGGAGGGCCTCACTAGATTTATTTCTATGATCAAAATTAGTTGACTTACATGTAATATGGAAAAGGAATAACAAATGACTTTACGCCGGAGAAATGTGATAAACACTACCTACAGGTGGTCAGCATTAGCATCATCTGTGATGTCACGTTGATCATATGCACACTTGATGTAATTAAAATGGCATTCACCTCTCTGATTGTCCTCCTAAAAAACTACAACCTCAGTCTAGTAAGTAACACATCAGACAAACCCAGATTGAAGGACATTCTCAACAAAATACCTGACCAGAACTCAAAACTGTCAAGGTTGTCAGAAACAAGGAAAGGCTGAAAAACTGTTACGATCTAGAAGATTCTAAGGTTTAATGACTACATGTAATGTGTCCTTTATGTTATTGTGGAATAGAAAAATAGCACTCGATAAAAACTAAAGAAATCCCCCCAAAATATGAAATTTAGTTAAATGTATCAATATTGGTTCATTAGTTGTGACATATATACCATACTAATGCAACATCTTAAGAACTGTTGCAAGGAAAAAAAAAAAAAAAGAACTGTTGCAGGGTATATGGGAACTCTTTGTGCTGTCTGTCTCTGCAACTTTTCTGTGAATCTAAAACTGTTCTAAAAAAAAAAAAAAAAAAAAAATTGTTTAAAAAAAAAGATTAATTCCCAGCCGGGCACGGTGGCTCCCGCCTGTAATCCCAGCACTTTGGGAGGCTGAAGCGGGCGGATCACGAGGTCAGGAGATGGAGACCGTCCTGGCTAACATGGTGAAACCCCTGCTCTACTAAAAATACAAAAAAAAATTAGCTGGGCTTGGTGACGCAAGCCTGTAGTCCCAGCTACTCTGGAGGCTGAGGCAGTAGAATTGCTTGAACCCAGGAGGCAGAAGAATTGCTTGAACCCAGGAGGCAGAGCTTGCAGAGAGCGGAGATCGCGCCGCTGCACTACAACCTGGATGACAGTGCAAGACTGTCTCAAAAAAAAATAATAATAATTAATTAATTCCCATAAAAAATTAACTCAGAAAGAGATTAAAAGTTGGGTCTTATTAATATCACCCCAAAATTAATTTAGTTCAAACATCACCCCAAAATTAATTGATTGTGTATGGGAGATGTGTGTGTATATGAAGTAATTGATTGGGGGGGGCGGTTAATGATTTGTAAGTTAAATTATGTTGATGAACTTGGACTTGTTCAGTGTAGTTAAATGAAACTACAGTATTATTTTGGAAAACAATTCTTTTAAATATCCTGTAATTTTTAAGTATTGAATTCTTTATATCTTAAAGTTTCTAGAAGGTAGATAAGTCTATCAGTTCATAATGCAGGAATATAATATTGAAATAAAATCTTGGGTGACCTTCATATCTGCTGGAATGGATGGCCTCTTGAGAAATTAACCTGTTTTCCTGGTCCTAAACTAAATGAGTGTGTATGTTGAAACTTTTAATGACTGATAGTTGTTTGTTTGGTTTTTTTCACTGCAATGTATATCATGTCTTTGTCTGAAAAGGAAGCTATCTTTTTTTAATCATAAATTTAACACCTTCCTTGTCATTACATTACATAGTAGTAGTTAGTTCTAAAAAACATGTTACCTACAAGACTTACTAGAGCAGTATGTAAACTGTTCTGAAGTACTGGCAAGTGTCCAGGGATGAAAAATATTAGGAATAAGTGGTTGTCTCCTTATGAGGTCCTCTCCCTTCAATGTGAGAGTAAACATGGGTAATTGGAAATGTTGCTGTCTTCTAAGAATTTTACTATGCTGTTTTCCCCCCTTAGGTTTATGATGCTGCAGTCAGGTGGTTGAAATACGATGAACCTAATCGCCAGCCATTTATGGTTGATATCCTTGCTAAAGTCAGGTTTCCTCTTATATCAAAGAATTTCTTAAGTAAAACAGTACAAGCTGAACCACTTATTCAAGACAATCCTGAATGCCTCAAGATGGTGATAAGTAAGTTGCCTTATTATCTATTTGTAATCTGATCATGTAGCCAGTTTCTCATGGACTTAAAACCCTTTAGAATGGAGTAGACTCAGTAACCAGGGAGAAGCATTCAAGATTTTGCTCTTCTAGAAGTTAATCTCTTGGGTTTCTGAACTGTACACCGGGAAGGCACTTCGCCTCAGCCCTTATTTTATAGGGGTATATATGATAGAAGGTACGAATTGCTTAATGCTTTTTCTACTCGTATACAATAACTTTCATGTACTTTGTTTCTAGTGTTTCCTTTTTTATTTTACTTAGCCAGGTAGTGTACTCTGATCACTTTTTCTTTCTTTTTTTTTTTTTCAGTTTCAAATTTTATTTCATTAACTTAAAACATGTACCAAATGTTTATTTCAAATCTAATTAAAATTTATCTAAAACAAGTAACTTATTTCAAGTAATTTATTGTACAGTCCATTCTCCATTTAAAAATATTCTTTCTTCCCAAAAAAACCTGCATCGAAAGACAAAAAAGTCTTTTATACCGCATAAAAGCGAGACGCAGACTTCTGATGTAAATTTGTTTCACTGTCTACTCCGATGATAAAGATGAGAGGCACAAGTGTTCACAGTTCAGTTCAATGATGCAAACATAAAGCTTCTGTTTTCCTCTGATACAAATTAGAAGCCTCCATTCATGTCTCCTAAATAGTACCACATACTTGATGCTGATCCTAGGTTGCTTCTTTTTCTTTCCTTTCCCTTTTTTACTTCCTGCTCCTTGTTGAAGACTTTGGTCACCGCCTCCTGTTTTTTGTGTCCTTGTTTTTAGTTTGGGTATCTTTTCTGCTGCATACAACAAATTGGCCTCAGCCAGAAGCCAGAAGTTAGGCTTAGTGTATAATGTGATAGGAACTGTATAAGGCAAAGACTGCCATCTTATTAGAGCTGGACCCAGACTGTGCCTCTGTACTGGACATCACAATTCCATTCTCTAGAGTACATTTTATTTTTCTCAAGAAATACATTAAGTGGGCCGGGCGTGGTGGCTCACGCCTGTAATCCCAGCACTTTGGGAGGCCGAGGCGGGTGGATCACGGGGTTAAGAGATTGAGACCATCCTGGTCCACATGGTGAAACCCTGTCTCTACTAAAAATACAAAACATTAGCTGGGCATGGTGGCGCGTGCCTGTAATCCCAGCTACCCAGGAGGCTGAGGCAGGAGAATTGCCTGAACCCAGGAGGCGGAGGTTGCAGTGAGCCGAGATCGCGCCATTGCATTCCAGCCTGGGTAACAGAGTGAAACTCCGTCTCAAAAAAAAAAAGAAATACATTAAGTCCAACTGCTGAACATACATCTTGAATCTCTGTAGCTGTAGAATTTTCAATAGCCTTACTTACGGGGATTCACCTTCCCTCTGTGATGGTCTTATTATTATTTAAATAAGCGGGATAGATACAAATAAATCTGTCCTGGTTGGCCAGGGCAAGCCATCTTCACAAGAGTCCAAACATCAACACAGAAGCTGCAGGGAGAAACCCGGAAGGAATCCGGCTCTCCACATTTTCTTTCCTTTTTTTTTTTTTTTTTTTTTTGAGACGGAGTTTCGTTCTTGTTACCCAGGCTGGAGTGCAATGGCTCGATCTCGGCTCACTGCAACCTCCGTCTCCTGGGTTCAGGCAATTCTCCTGCCTCAGCCTCCTGAGTAGCTGGGATTACAGGCAAACGCCACCATGCCCAGCTAATTTTTTGTATTTTTAGTAGAGACGGGGTTTCACCATGTTGACCAGGATGGTTTTGATCTCTTGACCTCGTGATCCACCCGCCTCAGCCTCCCAAAGTGCTGGGATTATAGGCGTGAGCCACCGCGCCCGGCCCATATTTTCTTTCTTTCTTTTTTTTTTTTTTTTTTTTTTTTGAGATGGAGTTTCGCTCTTTGTTACCCAGGCTGGAGTGCAATAGCGCGATCTCGGCTCACCGCAACCTCCGCCTCCTGGGTTCAGGCAATTCTCCTGCCTCAGCCTCCCAAGTAGCTGGGATTACAGGCATGCGCCACCATGCCCAGCTAATTTTTTTTTTTTTTTTTTTTTTTTTTTTTTTTTTTTGTATTTTCAGTAGAGACGGGGTTTCACCATGTTGACCAGGATGATCTCAATCACTTGACCTCGTGATCCACCCGCCTCGGCCTCCCAAAGTGCTGGGATTACAGGCTTGAGCCACCGCGCCCGGCCACATTTTCTTTCTTAAACAGTATTTTATCTTTCTTTTTTGGCCCAGAGCTAAAACTTGCCACATTGTTTCATTTGCTTTGATTTTTTTTGACTTGCTGGCTAAGTCCCAACCCCTCCACACCTTTATAAAATGCCACTTAATAAAATTGTCTATACAATTAAACAATCTGTCTTGGAAACCTGTCTTGTAGAACCTTCCTTTTGCCTATCCAATGTGGACTGTTTGCGCTCTAGGCCTGAGGCACAGTTCCTGTCCTGGGGCTTCCTTCTCCACAATCCTGGGAAGCCTTTTCACTCCTCTCCTGTTAGATCCATTGTCTTCTTGGATCCTAGCTTTCCTCTATCTTAATTCTTTTTGTTTGATGCAACATATCCTCTAAAAAGTTCCTAATAGAGAATATAATAAGTGAATATTTGGAGACATGACAAATTTCATGTTTATTTTACTGTAAAATATTGAAGGAGGCTGGGCACACTAGCCCACACCTCATCACAGCACTTTGGGAGGTCAAGGCAGAAAGATTGCTCGAGGTCAGGTGTTTGAGATTCACCTGGGCAACAGATTCCAACTTTACAAAAAAAAAAAAAAAAAACCCTAGCCGGGCATGGTGGCATGTGCCTGTGGTCCTAACTATTCCAGAGGCTGAGAGGCAGGAGGACTGCTTGAGCCCAGGAGTTTGAGTTACAGTGAGCTCTGATACTGCCACTGCACTACTCCAGCCTGGGCAACAGAGTGAGACCCTGTCTCTTGAAAAAAGAAAAAGAAAAAGTTAAACTGAACATAGAGTTATGCTGAAAATCATTTTCAGTTAGAATTTATCTACTAGCTTCCAATGTTACTTTTGAGAAGTCTAGTGTCAATCTGATTCTTTTCATTTTTTTTATTAACCATCTTTGTCTCTTGGCCTTTTTCTGAGAGATAGCTTGATTTTTTTCAACCCTTTTATTTCAGCTGTAATTTTTAATTTCTGGAGTTTTTATTCTCTGATTTCTTATTTCATGGCTACAATATCTTATCACTCTAAAGTAATCTATGTAGTGCTTTTTAAGTTTTCTTATGTTGTATGTATTTTCTATATTATTTTGTATTTTCTTTTCCTTTTTTCAGTGAAAGCTTGTCTTAAATATTTGATTTTATATCATATGAGAGTGAGTTATTACAAAACTGTTAGATCAGGCTGTATATATGAGTGGGGAGGAAAAAAAGGCCCATCAGTGTAGGAGAAAAAGGCATGCTTCCTCCAGTGTGTCAGCACAGTTGACCACAGTCACCACTTTTACCCCATGGCCTGTTGGCTGGAGGGAAGGAGAGAGACAATAGTTTACTCTTGTCTCTTTCCTTCCCTTCTACCTTTCTCTTACGGGGAGTATTGAGTTCATAGACTACACAGTCCACCTTCAAACTGTGTGGAACCCTCCAAAGCAGTCCTCTAAAACCCCTCCCTAGAGTTTCTGATTCAGAAGGTCTGGGCTAGTGTTCGTTAATTAGGATTTTCAACACACTTCTAGGTGATACGGGTGCTTCTGGTTATGGAACCACACTTCAAGAACTACCCACAGGCTACATGCAGACTTGAGCTAATATGGTTTTCACAGTTGTAAAGGACTGTAAAATAAACAAAGAGCATTCTACAGAAACCATATGTGGTCTTCGAAGTCTGTCTGTCCCTCTACAGCAAAAGTTTTCAGACCTTAAACCTAGAGCATGCATCAGCATGCCTTGGCCTCTGAAATATCCAGCTGTTGAATGCAAAAGAGCTGCTGCTCAAACTGCAATGGGAGAAATGATAAATATTGATGAAGATGTTCATTAATTCACCAACTATTCTCTGAATGAGTTTCCTTTCTCTATCCTTTTTATAAAGACCCAACATAGCTGCATTTATAGAAATGTTTTGCATGTGTCAGGTATTTTTGGGCCAGCCATCCTGGCTGAGGCCTGCAGTCCCAGTGCTTTGGGAGACTGATGTGAGAGGATTGCTGAGCCTAAGAGTTGAAGGTTATTCTGAGCTGTGATGGCGCTACTGCACTCCAGCCCAACTGACAGAGCAAGACCCTAGCTTTAGAAAAAATAAATGACCTGATTTTATTTTTAGATTGATAATATTTTACAATTCAAAAGGTATTAAAACGATATATCATAAAAAGTAAATCTCCCTATAAATCTTTTCCCTCTCTGGTTCTCTTACCCTGGAGATTAACATTATTATCTTGTATATACCCTTTCAGAGGTAGTCTTGAGATTGTACATATAGTCATTTACTTATATATCCATGTATAAATTACATAATAAAATGTGTATCATTGCATAAAATATACATTTTTAATACAAACAGTGTTGCACTCTGCATACTGTTCTACATCTTGTGATTTTTTATTCCAAATTATTTCTTGGAGACCATTTCATGCATACATGCTAACCTTTCTCATCTTAACAGCCACGTATAATGTTCTATTATATAGACATGGCATAATTTTTAACCACTTCCCTAACAGTGAACTTTAGATTGATAAACTCCTAGAAAGGGAATTCCTGGGTTTAAGGGTATGTACATTTATAATTTTTATAGATCGGGCTATATCACCCTTCCCATGGTTATACCCATCCACATGCCTACCATCAATGGAAGAAAGTGCCACCTCCCGTGATACAACCATATTATACCCTGTGATCCAGGCAGTTTGATCTTGGCCAATCTGTTAAGTGAAAAAAGTATGGTTTTAATTTGTATTTTTTTAACTGGAACACTCAAGCATCTTTTCATATGTTTAAGGTTATTCATACTTCCTTTTCTGTAAACTATATTCAGATACTTCACCTAATTTTTGGTTCAGTTGCTGGTAATTCTTGTAAATTAATAAAAGTGTCCTTTAATAGTATTTTTTTATTATTTATAAATAATTTCCTAGTTTATTATCTTTTAATTCTGCCTTTTATTTCTGCTGTACACTATTTTAACTTAAAATTTTATACAGTTAAGTCTGAACATTTCTCATTTTTTTCTGGCTCCTGTGTTTTTGGTCATTCTTAGACTTCTCCATTCTGGGCCTTTTTTTTTTTCCTTTTTTTTTTAGCTTCAGTACATTTATGAGATTTTAAAAATATATTCAGATTTTTACTGATTTGGAATTGAGAATGAAATATGAGGTAGAGGTATAATTTTTTTCTTCATTTTGTTGTCTAACATAGGCAATCCACCTTTCCCACACTGACTTGAAGTGATACTTTAACAGTTTTTGATTGTTAAGTGGCACTGACAAAATTAACGAACTGCTGAAGGAAAAGGATCGTGATAGATCACAATAGTTCTGACCTTACTGCATTTTTAGTCATGTAAGACAGTGCTTCTCAAAGTTTTATGTACATCCTAATTAGTATGGGGTGTTATATATGCAGATGCTGATTTAGTAGGTCTGGGGATAGGGCCTGGGATTAAGCATAACAAACTCCCAAATACTGAAGCCACTGGTCTTTGAACCACATTTTAAGTGGCAAGATTGAAGAAGCCCTTTAAAATACCAATTCCTAGACTCTACCTAGAGGTTTTAATTGGTCTGTGGTAGGTCCCAGGTATAAATAGTTTCAGAGATTTTCTAGGTGATTCTAATGTACACTTAAGATTGAGAACCACTGGATTAGGAGATCTGGATTTCAATAATTATTATTTTGGCACCTGTTGCTTGAGGAGCCAGATAATTCACTGTTATATAGTAAGTTGCTTACTGGGTGGGGCAGTCTTAGAATAATGGTGATTGCTGAGAATAATGAATTGGTTAGTACTCAGGTTCTTATTTCTCCTTCCTCTTCCCCCTCACTTTCCTCAAATGCTATAGAAAGATGATAAAAGGTTACTGAAAGACACTGTTATGTCTGGGTATTTCCTTTTCAAAGCACTGGTTAGTGCAAGTTCTTGAAGAGTTGCCGTGTATTTTACTACAGGTGGAATGAGGTACCATCTACTGTCTCCAGAGGACCGAGAAGAACTTGTAGATGGCACAAGACCTAGAAGAAAGAAACATGACTACCGCATAGCGCTGTTTGGAGGCTCTCAACCACAGTCTTGTAGATATTTTAACCCAAAGGTAACTAATTTTTATTCTTGTTTTTTGTTGTTGTTTTTGAAATCACTGAATCTTAAGACACTAACCACAAGGAGTAATAACTCATACCTTTAAAGATGTTAGTTTATGGTGTTCTTTCACATATCTTATGAGATACATAGATCATTTTACAGATAAGGAAATCAGGCTTAGTCACATTCCAAATGTTTTTCCTTTATTGTTCTGGAATGCTGCATGGTAACCACTGACAAAAAGGGAAGCTAGTTCTCCTGACTTTTTGTCAGAAGCTCCTTGCATTCATTACAACTTCTTCCTTTCCTTATTTACCATTGTCAATGGAAATTGCTTCTGGGGCTATATTTGTTTTTTCTCCTTAGTAATTTTAATATGAAATAATACATATTCTAGAATATTTGGAAAACCTACAAAACCACAAAGAAAAAAGATTAAATGACTTTTATTTGAACCATCTAGAAATGATCACCAAGTTTAGTGAACTTTTCATTATATCATGCCAATTGGGTCAAGAGAGCTTGAGTCATAGGTATAAGAACACAAATTTTTTTCAATAGATCATTACTTACATCCTTTTGAGAAATTTCTACTCCTTGTTTCTTAGACCTGTGTGTTTTGGCTGTGGGAGAAAGGATACCGTATTTTTCTGGTACTATATGTATTGCTGGGGAAGAGCAAACACCACAATTCTGAAGGATAACACCCCAAACTGGCAAGGTGGTATCTATAAGTGGTGCTGAATCCAAATGCATAATGATCTTTTTTTTTTTTTTTTTTTAATTGAGCGAGAGAATCCAGAAAGGTGGAATACAGGAGATGAAAGCAGCTTCTACACTGAGTGGAAGGGAATAGAGAGAGATGGAGTTTGGGAGGAGAAGACAAGCTTCCACAAAGGAAGTGTTCATGGAAGGGGACTCCAGAGGGAAAATCCAGGATAGAGGAAAACAGCTTCCACGAGCACAAGAGTGTTCATGGAAGGCGATTCAAACATGGAGTCCCATACATAATGATTTCTTTCATCATTTTGCAAACCCATTTTTGGTTGGCTAGATACCTGATGAGACCCAAAGCATTATTTCAAACCTGCATCCGTCTAGATAAACCACTAGTGACTGCCCAAGACTTGATAAAAACTGACCTTAGGCCGGGCGTGGTGGCTCAAGCCTGTAATCCCAGCACTTTGGGAGGCTGAGGCGAGTGGATCACGAGGTCAAGAGATCAAGACCATCCTGGTCAACATGGTGAAACCCCGTCTCTACTAAAAATACAAAAAATTAGCTGGGCATGATGGCGCATGCCTGTAATCCCAGCTACTCAGGAGGCTGAGGCAGGAGAATTGCCTGAACCCTAGAGGCGGAGGTTGCGGTGAGCCGAGATCGCGCCATTGCACTCCAGCCCAGGTAACAAGAGCGAAACTCCGTCTCAAAAAAAAAAAAAACTGACCTTAGGCTTTCTCTCCTAAAAGGTATAATGGACAGTAAAATGAACTGCTTGGAATTCTATCAAGTTAGAACACTTTCCTTCATATTGTCCTTCAAAGCAATTCCTGAGGGGGTGCTACAATGCTTTTGCCACTCATTATTGGCTACTACTATCAAAAGTGAACCAAACACAGGCCTCTCAAATTTGTCACCATCATATTTGGACTGTCCCTATTGGGTTGCCCTATTGGGTTAGCTGATGTATAGTGAACACTTCCGTGAAAGCATAGTCCTGGTTGAGGGAGAAAGATAGTGAATTAGGTGAAGGGCTACTGGATAAGTCTGTCATTAACCTATTTGGGTATTTTGTGCCTTTGGAACCTCTGTAAGCCTAGTCTTACATTTACATGCTACATTATTGGTTGAAGGCATGCTGTATTTGTGGCTAGGCAGGTCAGGTAAAATTGTTAAAGATGGATTAATGACATGGTCACCTGGTTTCCTTGGTGTCAGACATTTACCATCAGAACCTCGTGGTCAGCTGGGAGTTGTCTACTGAAAGAATGATACCTGTATAAAGGAGGTTGGCCTTGCCCCAGAGTTTGGGCCATGCTCTGATTATATCGAGACATGCCTCAAGCTAATGCCCCAGGGTCACGGCAGCTGAGCCATACTACTATAGCCTGTTCCTAGAAATATTTCTCCTCAGCCAGGCGCAGTGACTCACGCCTGTAATCCCAGCACTTTGGGAGACCGAGGCGGGTGGATCACAAGGTATTGGAGTTCAAGACCAGCCTGGCTAAGATGGTGAAACCCTGTCTCTACTAAAAATACAAAAAAATTAGCCAGGCGTGGTGGTAGGCACCTGTAATCCCAGCTACTTGGGAGACTGAGGCAGAGAATTGCTTGAACCCAGGAGGTGGAGGTTGCAGTGAGCCAAGATCACACTACTGCACTCCAGCCTGGGCAACAGAGTGAGACTCTGTCTCAAAAAAAAGAAAGATTTCTCCTACTCTAGATTTTACTTGTAACTGATAGCTTTTCGATTTACTCAGAAGTGTAATAACCATATGCCATCTCTAATATGTAGGAGTGCTTGGGAGCAGCAAGCTGTCCTTCATTTCCAAGAGGTTATACCAACATGCTGTAGATCAGGGCTTCACAGACTTTTCTATAAAGGGCCAGAGTAAATATTTTCAGCTTTGCAGGCCATTCGTTCTCTTACCCAGTAGCAGGAAAGCTGCCATAAACAATACATAAGCAAATGGTCATGGCTGTGTTTCAATAAGACTTTATTTACAGGCCAGGTGCAATGGCTCATGCCTGTACTCCCTGTACTTTGGGAGTCCGAGGTGGGTAGATCAGCTGAGGTCAGGAGTTCTAGACTAGCCTAGCCAACATGGTAAAACTCTGTCTCTACTAAAAATACAAAAAAATTAGCTAGGCATGGCAATGCGTGTGTGTAATCTCAGCTACTCAAGAGGCTGAGGTAGGAGAATCAGTTGAACACGGGAGGTGACTTTGTTTACAAAACCAGGTAAGGGGCCAGATTTGGCCTTCAGGCCATAGTTGGCCAACCTCTGCTGTAGACCTGAGAACATCTAGGGACTTTGATGCAATCAGCACCGTATTCTAGGCTAACTTATCTTCTGTCCTGCCAAGCACATTTCTTACCAAGACATGTAGGATCCTTTCTGTTTTCTGGTCTCCAGAACTGGTTAGCATTATGTGCATCAACATAGGAGACTAGTATGTGACCTTGGGAAGGTGAGATGGTCCAGGATGCCTGCAACTTAGAATATGGCATGGAGCTAAGGAGTCAAGGGATCCTTGAAGTCAGACCATGACATTTAAAAATTTTCCCTGCCAGCTGAAAAGATATTCGATCTCATGGCCTGGATAGATAGAAACAGAAATATGCATTAGCCAAAGTGTTAGCTATATGCCAGGTTTTCCTGGTTATATTAATCTGATGCAGTAAGACCACATCTTGTCCTATTGCAAAAAAGTTACCAGTCTCAGCAGTTACTCCAAGGCAGCTGTTCCTCTTATATTTTGGTAGAGAAGACTTCCATCAGCTTCTCTTGCTTACATAACACTTAACACCGTAACCCATAGAGCAAATATGCTGCCAGATAGCAAAATCACCTCAACAAGGATGGAGGATCATTTAGATTAGTTAATCACCATCATATTTGGACTGTCCCTATTGGGTTGCTCTTGGCTCAGACATCGATTTCTGGTCTATTCCTTCATCTCCAGAATATAGGTTGTTGTGTTTTTTTACCTGAAGATATATGGCTTTTTCAGTAGAAGACTGGGTAACTAGCAGGTGCCATGAGAATACATGGCCTCTGTAATATCCAGTAAGCACAGTGTCCTCACTGTAAGGACACTGGCAATGGCTATTGTTTTTTAATTTTTCAGGATTCTTTTGAGTGAAGAACAGAAAAATGATAAACTTTTTTTTTTCCAAGCAAAAACTGAAATGATAGTTTAAATTGTAATGTTAGAGCCGGGCGCGGTGGCTCAAGCCTGTAATCCCAGCACTTTGGGAGGCCGAGGCGGGTGGATCACGAGGTCGAGAGATCGAGACCATCCTGGTCAACATGGTGACACCCCGTCTCTACTAAAAGTGCAAAAAATTAGCTGGGCATGGTGGCACGTGCCTGTAATCCCAGCTACTCAGGAGGCTGAGGCAGGAGAATTGCCTGAGCCCAGGAGGCGGAGGTTGCGGTGAGCCGAGATCACGCCATTGCACTCCAGCCTGGGTAACAAGGGCGAAACTCCGTGTCAAAAATAAATAAATAAATAAATAAATAAATTGTAATGTTAGGCCAGGCGCAGTGGCTCACACCTGTAATCCCAGCCCTTTGGGAAGCCAAGATGGTTGGATTACCTGAGGTCAGGAGTTCAAGACCAGCCTGGGCAACATGGTAAAACCCCATCTCTACTAAAACTACAAAAATTAGCTGGGCATGGTGGCAGGCGCCTGTAATCTCAGCTACTTGGGAGGCTGAGGCAGGAGCATCACTTGAATCTGAGAGGCGGAGGTTGCAGTGAGCCAAGATCGCACCACTGCACTCCAGCCTGAGCAACAAGAGAACAGCAACCAGAAAACAAAACAAAAAAATTGTAATTCTAAAAACCACAGCTTTCAGGTATTAATAATGATTACACCCAATTTGTTTCCCAAAGCCTAACCGTGGTGTTGATTTTGGCAGTTAAAAAGCGATTAAGACAAGTGTTGGTGAAGAATATTTTATTTTAAAATAAAGTAGATAGCTGTTTTGATGTACAGATGGGCAAGAAGAATTCTGATCTCATTTAGGAGGCAGGGAGCACTGTTCCTAGAATAAGGCAAATGTGACATGACTCTTAGCACTTTATTTTTAGTCTGTAGTTCTAATTCTTTCCTTGATTTTTTTTTTTTATTGGACAGTTGAAAAGAGATGGATATCCTACACGAGCCTGGAAGTGAGACTGTAACTTCAGAATTCTCATTTGTTGTCTTGCCTTGCTCTTATAAATGACTCGTTCCTAATTGCACTTTGAAAATTTATGGAAAAATTCAAATAATTGAGG